GTAAAACATAGCAGGATAAATTATATGATAAAAATTTTATAAAAGTGTGTATAGTTTAATATCTATAATAAAAATAAATACATTGATATAATTAAGTGTTAATAACATAATTTTTTAATAATTTAATAATAATTGATTTTACATAAGATATTTAAAATATCATAAATTTAACTTATAATTGAGCTTCTTGACCATTAATAAATAATCTAAGAAGGTTCAAATCATCGTCTAAGAATAAGAAATCAGCATCTGCTCCATTGTTTAAGGTTCCCTTTCTGTTTTCAATGCCTAAGACTTGAGCGGGGTGAAGTGTGGCAGCTTCAATAGCTTCAACGGTTGTACATCCTGTGAATTGCTTGAAGTTTTGAACACATTCGTACATCTTAACGTTGGATCCAGCAATGGTATCAGTACCAGCAATTGTGATCTTCTTACCCTTAACTTCGACATTCATCTTACCTAAAGTGTAAGAACCTTCAGCTAAACCAGCGGCAGCCATGGCGTCAGTGACTAAACAAGCACCCTTGGGGTGAGAGTAGTAAGCAATTTTAACTGAGTTGGGGTGAACATGGACACCATCACAGATAATACCATAGAATGGACGTTCCAAAGAAGATCCAAGTAAACCAATACATCCAGGATCTCTGTGGTGGAATTGGTTCATAGCGTTGAATAAATGGGTAACCATCTTAGCTCCTCTGCGAACACCTTCTTCAGCAACAGTAGTAAGAGCAGCGGTATGACCTAAACTGACACAGGGAACTCTCTTGGCTAATTCAGGGATAGCGTCGAGCATACCATCAACATCAGGGGCAACAGTGATCAAGCTAATGGCTTTGTTGTGGTTATCAAGGTTTCCGTAAACTGATTCTAAATCAGTGATACCCTTCTTAGCATCTCTGAGGGTGTTAACGTCATGAGCACCATACTTTAAATCACTCATGAAGGGTCCTTCAAGATGGGCACCTAAAATTTCAGCACCTTCTTCAACGCAACCTTTTCTAGGAACTAAAGCAGGTAAAACCTAGTTAAAATAATGATTAGTCAGCCAAACTTTACAATGTCATTAAATTAAATTACTCTTTCATAGACATTGGGGAAAGAACTAACAATAGTTGGGCAGTAAGAAGTAACACCTTGATCTAAAATAGCTTTTGAAACCTTTTTCAAGCCTTCTTCAATAGTTTGATAATCACCAGTAAAATCAACACCATAAGCACCTATAAATTGATAAAATTAAACTGGTTAGCTCTGCTCTTAATAAATCACATATTTTGTAAATTTCAAACTTACCATTAAGTTGTAATTCGATAAAACCAGGAACTACTAAAGCACCTCTAGCGTCAATAATTTCGTCTGGTGAACTGTTTTCTTCGTAGAAGAGCTGAGCAGGGTCAACGAATTTACCCTCTCTAATCCATAAATAATCATTTTCAACAATTTGACCATTTTTTAAAATGCGTCCATTAATAATTTTTGTTATTTTACTGTTATTAACTAATGTGGTAGAGGTTTCAACTGAAGGAGGCATTTTTAATATGGATAAATGTGTAAGCAGTGATTTATAAAAAAATTATTCTTTAAATCTTATTTAAAAAAATCAGATAGATTTAGGGATATGGGGGTGATTTATAGTTCTTTAGAACCAACTAAAGTACAATTTAATTAAGTTTGCCACACTCCAAATTATTACTTACTCAACACTAATTCCCATCCTTTAACTATCAGTTATCTTAATTAAATCAATTGTAATTAACCAATCACGCCCCTAATTTTGGTACATACAACATTTGAAATAATATTAGAGGAGTTACTAGAATAACATTAAAGTGGGTAAAAATTGCATAAACGATTTATGAAATCATTTTTATTCTTTTTCTTCTGTCACTTGTGGAATCTCATTCACCGCAGGGTAAAAATAAACCAAAGCCATTACGACATAAGTTGACCAGTAAAGAGAGATATATAAATACTACAACTTTATTTATAGTATCAAACCAATATCAAAATCTAGTCAATACCACAATAAAAAACAATTAATCTGATCAAAAAAAATTAGTTAAATTAATAAAAATTTATCAGATATTAAAATAGTAATAAATTATATTATTTTTTTTTGATAACAAATTTATCCCAGTATAATCAGCTTTTTAATATTCCTTTTTGATCCATTTAACGCTTATTAAATTTTCGAATCTTTAAGTTTGATCATTTGACAAGTTTTTTAAATTAGATTATTATAGATTGTTAAGGAGATTAGATTGATAGTTAGTAGAGATATAAATGACATACTTTATAAAATTAAGACTGTATTGAAAAATTTAGAATTATTTAGCTTAATGAAGAG